GACTTGAGGCCACACTTGTGCCAGAAAAATGACGCAAGGATTAGGAATAGGTTTTGTTCAGTCACCACTCTAGGAATGTGAAACAATGTGTCATGAATGAGTTTTTCGGCAAGTTGTTGGTGGCAACATCAATACGAGGCTGACTTCCCCTGTAAGGTTGCCAAAACAAACAGCCAAAACTGTGAGAAAACATTCATCACATTGGCATGTTTTTCACCAAACACAGTATTGCAATTGTTCTCCCATGGAGGAAGGCATTTCTCATGCTGGTGTAATTGTTCCTGGACATCAGCTGATGGTTTTGTAGGCAGTTTTTAATTCTAGTTCCTTGCCAGAAGACAGAAGCGGACACTCTTCTAGGGCGGAGATGGACAAGGCAGCCCTTTTACCTGACACATACCTATTTGTGCTCGTTCCATTGATTGTTGCAGCCTTCATTACGGAGTCTGCGGGAGGGAAATCTGAAAGTGGCGTCCCATCCATTACCTATTGTCCCTCGCACCCCGATTCGCAGTGGGAATCAAACATTAAGTACTCGTTCTTCCCCCGTTGCCACGGCAACACGTCCAAGTGGAAGAAGGGGCTTTGTGCTGTTGTCAGAGAAAGAGGCTTACGGTGACACCAGACAAAACATGGGCAGGGATCTCACAATGGAATACTTCCCTGTAGTTGTGGGTTGCTGGGACCTGCATTTGAAAAGGGGGTTTGTGCTCTTGTTGAAATTTTCCACGGCCGTGTAAGAAATGGAACATTGTTCTTGCCCTACAGGACCCAGGTCCATAACCAATTGGTTCACCCATCCCAGAGGGGAGGGAGGAGAGGGCTGGGAGCCAATCACACAGATTAGCAGTAAACAACATGCTCCTTTGGAATGAATGATCTTTTGTATGGATTGTAGAAATCCCTGAAGGAATTTGTATAAAAAAACATAAGGTTCTCCCATGATTGTGATAGCTAATACACAAGGAAATTGTTACTCAAACAACTGGATAGATTTTGATTTACCTGGATCCCTAACCTTCTTCGATGGTAGCCAGAACAGCTTTGGAATTTCCAGCAGTTACGTAATTGTCCTTTATAGGTACAGTCTTTCGTGAATTATCCTTGGCACGAATCAGAAACCAAGAAATCTGTGTATTCAAGTCCATCTGTAATGAATGCAAAAGTGGAGATACCAGGACCAGATTTGAAGCTCTGTTCCACAGATTTTGTGCCAAATCTGCATGGCCCAATGATATCCTTGTCTTTCAATTCAAGCCCAAGTATTCCTATACCCGCAGGGCTGCTTATCATATTTACCGGATGCAAAACTGCCTGCATGCTAGGATTTACAAGAAAGTTGGCAAAGGGAGATCAATCTTGACGTTGTCTTGTCCAATAAAAGCGTCATCCTGTTCGCTTATCCTTGTGACCGCCGTGATCTTGGAAGCGGTTTTTACCCGGATGTACCGCTGGTCTGGGTCAAGCCTGTGTGGAAACATGCTGAAGTGATCAGCGTGTTGTTTAACTTGTGAAAGAAGATGGATTGGCTTAGAGTGACTTTTGCCATAGGAATGAGGTGTTGGACAGTCAGTGTCATAGCTGTTTAAGGGTCAACTGTCGGATGTGTACAAGAATTCAGACTGCACCAGGAATAGAAAAGATTCCTGATTCATGTTAGTGTGTTAGTTAATAAATTGTAGTAAATTTGTGGACCCCCCCCCTTTTTCGAACAGCCTGCATTTTCTGAGGCAGATTCTCTTCAGTTGTCTGTCAACAAGTGCTCAGGGCACAGCTGTCTTATGAACAATTGAAATAAGAGAAATGGCAAGGGGATAGTAGTTAAAAGGTTAGCTCACCAGAGGGTAACCTGTATCTCTGTCTTCTCTTGGGCACAGCAACTGCTTGTTGCCCAAAATGGTCAAAAAAGGGCAAGATTCCAAACCTTTGAGCTGTGCTTGGTAGATAAGGGCTAATGACTACTGTAGCCCAAAAATGGCAGATAAGAACAACTGCCCAAAGAGGATAAAGCTAGCTACCGAAAATCAGTGGTTTAAAATTTCAAACGAAATTCCCCCCTCCACCTCTTGAGTAATATCATTTGTTTTCTGCAAGTTGTGCCAAGAGGAAGAGAAGTGCTATTAGGGTCAGTGGAAGACAGATGGACGCTCAGGGTATGGGGCTCATTAGGGAAGCAACTCCTGGGGTGGGAAGAATGATGGTTCAAATTAAAGGTGCTGAACACTGGGGAGACTAGATCAAGATTACTTTGTCTCTACCTAAATTGTATGCTAAATATACACTCTGAGATTGTTTGTGTTTCTAACACAAAAGTGGAAATAATTTGGTAAGGAGTTGAGATACTAAGAAACAGATGCAAGGGGAACGCAGCTGTTAGTAAATTCTGAGGCGAGTCGTTACAATAGAAACATGCCCTTCAGATGTCAGTACACTTGTGCCAGGTGCAGGACTTGCTACCACAACTGGCCTGTGTTCAACTTCAAGGCTTAAAGCAAGTTCAATGTCAAACTTCATATTTGCTGGGAAATGTCTCTCAGCAAACGACTGTGCAAAGCTTGCCCCAAAGGGAAACTTTGCATACTAATCACCAACCAAACATTTTTCATCCAAACCTCGATCCTTGAGTAAGACAGTGTAGGAGGAAGGTATCTATGAAGAATAGCCTTATAACCTTTAACAGCTACAAAGACACCAAGGAAGCTTTATTCTCTATATTAGAGTGTAGTAAATGGCCATTTTCTGGATGCCCGACTTCTGATGTGCCGTGAGTCTGCATTTTTCTTCTTCTGGTCCCAAATCTGTCATCAGTCACCCCCACAATCTTTGTCGTAGGTTGACCCATATACACCGGTGTTTTACATCTACAGATGTCTGGGAAACTGTAGGTGGTAATCGTATTGTGGAGGGATCTTGGACTTCAATTGTCTAAACACAGTTGTACTTGGCCTTCCAATAACAAACACTGAAGACTGATACAGCCTTCTTTGGGGAGTATCCTGCGAGGGAATTTCCTGGAGTCACCAGGGAGCAAACCTAGATAGCTGGATTTCCAACCCGATCATTAGGCTTGTCCTGTGTTGACGGAGACAACTAAGATTTCCATCTTTGAATAGCCCTGATTTGCTTTAAGTTCAAGTATCTCCTCCCAGATCAAAGCTCTGGTGTTGTTTAAAGCGGGAAAAGCTAGGAAAACATTCAACAGTTTGTGGCCTGTATTTGTCAGTACTGTTGGTAGATAAAGTGCAGAGACAAGGGGAGTGGCGTTGCCAGGCACTGCGGTGGCCAGGTTTGTTTTGCCTTCAGGATGTCAAACAGGAGGTTTGCTGACTGATGAAGGTTACCAACGGGTGTGATCATTGGAGACATTCGGAGATGTCATATCCCTTCTATGTACGTGGCAGCTCTATTCCGGGCTGTATATCTTATGTTTTTGCACAACTTGAAATTTGTGGCATTCCAGATCTGTTAGGGTGGTTCACTGTAAGTTAGACATTTTATTAAACATGTTGAATGGACTCTTTGAAGCAGTCAAGTGGTTTGCAAAGATACAAGATTTTTTAGAACTATCTTGGTAAACAAGACAGATCAACAAATGCAGTGAGCAACTGCTGTAGATTATTCAAAAGTCACTGTGCATTTATACCTGGCAAACACATCTTCATTCATAACAGTTACTGTAGTGTCAAGCCAGATGAATCTAAATCTGTGAAGATGTGAATCTAACCCTTCACAGCAGTCTGTTGGTAAGCCAACTCAGAATGCAACAGCTGTGAAGACATTCATCCTTCTTATTCCCAGCCTTGCAACGGCGTATGTATAACCATCGCAGTCTCCGGAATATAAAGCGTTTCTGCTTGTTGATCACTGGCTTGTCTCTGTCGATGACGAATGGCCAGAGAAGGAATCGCAGAGATAAAGAAAAGGGAAATGTAGGCAGGATGCATCTGGGAGGAAGAGTCGGATCCAATTTTACTTCCAATTTGTCAGCAGAAGGTAGAAGTAATCTGTCACGGCAGTGGAATCGACAAGACACTATCGTGTTGCAAAGGTTTCCCCAAACTTGAATAATGCACAAGTGGGTGATTTATCATGGAATCCTCAGGTTGCAACGCAGTATCTTGTCTCTCCATCCACTCTGTTCCAACTGTGGTACAAGTTTTAAGTATTGGGTTATCACACTCTCAGTATTTTGGATATCTACTATTTCCATCAAAAGCGTGTTACATACTTGTGTGTTTGTTAGAATGAAGCACCGGCTTATATGATACTAGTACAAGATTATTTTTTTAAATATAACAAGCTATGAACTCTATGAGCAGAATATGTTTGTCTGGCAGCCATTTCATACCATTGATTCATCTTGTCTGTTGACACCATCAGTCTCTTCCCACTTGATGTTGTATGTGGTATTGTGTCATACAAAAGATAGATTTATAAGCATGATTACAATGCATCCATATTCCCACACAAGACTTACACAGGAGGATTACCATAAGATGACACTGTATCTAGGACGCGTTCCATCTGATACACCCCTTGAACATCCTTAGTCATATATTATTTCCGCAAAGGCAAATGTCAGCCGTGGCATAATAAATTGATAGTGATCATCACGCTTCAGGCAAATTTGTCACAACAGGTTTGTGATAAGGGATATTAAAGTGTATGTAACAAGAGGAAGCTGGTGGAAAGAAACAGGAGTAAAGCCTTTGTCACACATAGCCAAGTATGGCCTGAACACTAGCTGAACTCCCACCAACCATGGGTAGGTGTAGATTGGGAGCAAGATCGGCTGGTGTTCGAGTCAAATTCAACTCAAATTCAATTTGATTTGTAAAGAAAGGTAGGCGTGGCCAAATCTGATCAGACTGCTCCTGACTTCAGTCAACCTTGGTTGGCTGGTGTTCTGGGGAAGGTTCTGAATGTGTGACAGGCTTAACCCAGCAATCTGATGGTTAAACCTGAGTGTTGACCGTGTTGTTCTCTTTTGTTTTGTACAGCCTGAAGGTGAGGATGACCTGAAGAAGAGACAGCTGATGGAGCTGGCCATCCTGAACGGGACGTACAGAGACAACAACACCAAAAACAGTGAGTCACCAAAAACTTTCCCCAGAAGACTGTCCCAAAATTACAAAAGCAAGTTCTAGAAAAGAAAGCAAAATCGATAACCACAAATATCCATGTGATTCAAAAAGTCCTTTTCGGGTAATTCTTTTTGACTGTTTTAGCATTGGATTATTGTTCTGGAGTAATAATGACGATTCATGAGATACAGTAGTCCCTAATAACAGGTAGATCCTTAGATAGGCAAAGCTTCAGTAGGACAGGCACTGATCCAGTATGCATGCAAAGCTGACAGTTAGAGTGGGGGTGGGTATACAGATTACCCCAGCTGAGATTTCAACAAAAGATCCATAGAAACGTTGCAAGTATAATCTTAGCTTCAACGGAAAAGTGGTGATGGGTCTTGGTATGTTTACTGATAAGATGCAGGTTTTGTATATGTTTGATTTGCAGGTTCTCTAGACTATGACTATTGACAAGCATCAAAATGTGCAGTTAGGCTTTAAAAGTATGTTTCAACATCCAGATGTAAAGAGGAAATTCTGCAGCAATTTTAGTGTAATTTAGAAATGGCAGAGATCAGCTCTCCTACCCAACACACATCCACACAGCTCTGGACTGACCTGGTTGACTAGTTCATGGGTGTGTTGGTGGGAGGAATAAACTAATACACGCTTGTCTTAGTACTGCAGCTTTCAGCAGGCTCCAGACCGACCTAACCTCATAATAGCAAGCCTCTAACATGTCCAGACTAAGGGTTTTAACTACCTGAACTAGAGCAAGCAACTGCTACTAGAACTGTTCAACTTACCGCCACAACTTGACATCATCCATGTTGTAACTGTACTGATGGTGAACTGATGTATTGGAACGTAATGTTGATGTTAACATTGCTCATGATAGAGTTGGTGTATGTAGTATGATGACTTGGGTTGCCTTTCTAATATGTATTTTTTTTTCCGTTGTTGATAATATGATATAATCTTTCCTGTGTTTGGTGTTTGTCCGTTTGTGTCTTGCGGGTTGCCATGGTTTTTTCACAATAAACATCACTTTTACCTCTCATTCACCCCCACACACTAGTGACGAGCAGTCTGCCGTCGGACTTAGCTCTGACTGCCCCCTCCTTGTATGCGTTTGCAGGGACAGACCAGAAGGCAGGGCTCACCCTCTGTAAGTCACCGGGCTTTGGTAGATAAGGTCGTGTTTGCGCTCGTAGAGCTAATGTTGTAGTAATGAATTAAAATGCTTTCAAGAGTCCACAACTGCAGAAAGAAACCTTTGTACTTTTGAAAATATTTGACATATTTTATTTTACCAGTCAAAGTAGTACTGGGTTAGATCATTTTGGCCCCTCTTTAAGACTTTTGTCAGCTATCATCACTTGCATTGTAAGTGCAGAATGATGTCACGCTGAAGAAAGTGTTACGTTGGATTGCCAAAGTATTAAGAACCTTTTCTCGTATGTTGTAGTTGGAAAATTTGTCCCCATGCTGTTGTGGACTCTGTGCTTATGCTGTATAATCATAACTGGTGTTGCTGTGAATTAGCCAAATGTAATGTGCATTGTTAACCCACTTTGCCATGTAAAGTTAAACATGTTCACTTCTAACAGTTATCAGCAAACACTTAACTAACCTTGATTCCAGATGTACATTGGATATTGCTTCACACAAGCCCACTCTTTTGGCGTATTAGTGTTGCAGTATCTGGTGTATATCTAGTAGTAAGGTTAACCTAACAGTGTAGAATGATATATAGTAGCTGAAAGCTGTTTTTCCTTGTGCTGCGGGATCAAACTCACTTGCCAATATACTTGCATCATTGCCACATTGCTGGGCTACCCATAATGCTTATCTCCAGGAATAACTTTTTTAATTACCCACAATGCATTTGCCACGACTTTGATGCAGCTGCCCTTCCTGTGTCCCTATATAACATCCTCCTTCTCTATGCCACAATATCCACGTCATAAAAACAAAAAGTTAACATCTCATCCCCTTCTTCTTTTGTTAATGTCAAAATCATCTTCAGTACATTGAAAAACTGTCAGATATCACACACACACACACACACACACACACACACACACACACATATATACATGCATGTCTTAAAGAATATTCAAACGTTATCTTGAAATTTAATCTGTGTTGGTAATGTTCAAACCTTACTTTACACAGTCTTCTATTCTAAAACCCTACAGGAATATTATACTGTTTTGACTTTGGCTTTTTCCTGTAGACAAATAAAGTTAAAGCAACAAGTGGTGAATTTTGCCTAACTACACACCAAACCTTTCCAGCACTCTAACAAGATCACTTCTCCACACCTAGGGTGGAAATTGTTTCCCCAATTGTTCATTACCTATCCCTGTCTCTGTCAATTGACCTCGGTACAATGTCGTTGACCCCCTGACCTTTGGATCTGGATTCTGGAAATTGCTACAACGAAGCAATTCTGGAAGTTTATGGGAGGAAGGTGTTTGGTCCAGATGGGCACAAGTCTGCATCATCATTCTATTCAATCAGTCGGTTTGCAAAAACCTAGCACAAAAATACAGCAACTAAGTAGAAATTTTGGACATCAAGCCAGAGAAAGAAAATTGTTGAACACCTGACTGATTCTCTCTGAAAGTTGACTTGAAGTTTTAGCCACTGACTGATGATCACGTTTTGTTGCATTTTTATGAGAAAAGTTTGTGAAACAAGTCTGCATAGCCTGGATGCCAGACTGTTCCCAGGGCTTACAGAAACCAGCTCTGTGGCTCTTGGAAAACGTCTGGCAACTAGGCTAGTCTTGCAAGGTATGGATCAGTCCCCCTGCAGCGCAAGGAGGAAAAGCAGTGTCCACTAATGCAGCATTTTCAGCCACTAACTAATGAAAAATACATTGCATGTTTATCATTAATTAACATGGCAGTAGTGGGGCGTGGTTTGTGATAGTTTCGACTGCAGTAATGGTTGGTGGACCCAAGAGGGTGGTCGAAAAACATCTTAGCTTTTGTAGTCATTCTGGTAACCAGTCATTGCCATTCATAACATGCCCTCCTTCTCCTTGGTAAGTATGAGGAAGAAAAGCATGTCAACAGAACAAACTACGCCTGAACAAAACCCATAATGCATTGTTCATAGCAAAATCTGGTTTCCCACAGGTGCAATATGTTCTGTCGACATACTAGAAAGAAATGCCTCAGTCCAAAATGCTGGTATCCTAATACACAGTTCCTATGCAGTAGTCTTACTGATACACCATTGGTTGCATTGTTGCAGATTCGCCTCGGGGTGTCCCCGCCCCCAACACGCCCATGGTGGCCCCTCCGACAGCAGTACGCTCCCCGATGCCGGCGGGCGCGCCTCTCATCGCGACCCCCGTCCTGCAGCGGTTACCTTCGACCCAGCAGATCATGTCCAACGGGCTCCTCCCGCACATGGTGTCTCCCGAGTCCAACTTCCTGTACACGCCTTACGACTACCCCTACTCCGTGCCTGCCTCATCCATTCTGCAGTACCCCATCGAGCCCAGCGAAGCGATAGGTAGGAACTCCCCCTATCTGCTCGGTAAAGCACTGCAAGATTATGACACTGTCCTCAGCTGTTTGCATACAGAAAGATTTACTGAGAAATTTGTGGACAAAAAACAGTACTGAATTCCTTACACAAGGAAGTACTACAGCAACTGGAGCAAATCTGGTCACTGACGAAAAGTAGCGGATGCTACTTGAAACGTCTTTTGACAGTTTTCGAAATCCATCCAGTTGCTTGAGAATTGTGCTACTTTACCTGGATGTCTACCTTCATTGACATTCTAAATTCCATGTTTCAAGATACTGGTCTGTTGAAAAAAAGATAGTACGCATCCTTAGAGCTGACAAGTTGCTAAATTGGCGAGAACATCATTTAATTAAAAATATTCTGTAAGCTATAACTCGATGAGGACAGTGTCATTTTCTTCTTGGTCACTAAAGTTCACCAGTAGCTGTAGTTCAATGCATGCCGTAGCTCTCTCCACATCTGGCAGCCAAACTGCATTTTGACGAAGCCATGTGCATGCGATGATGTTTAGCACCTAGATGACCTCTTGCCAGCTGTTCCATAACTCCGTGCATGACTTGAAGTGTGGTTTCTCACCGCTGCACGACATCAGAGTGCGACGCTGACCCGTGCTCGGCGAGGTCGCTAGACCAGGCTCTGCCCGGAATGACCGAGAGCTACTAACTGTTTTCTGTCGTTTTCAGGTAAGGCTTACATCCAGTGAGCAGAAGTGTGCCGTGCCTTAATCCTACTGTACCCTTGGGACCAATACACTCAGCATGGGAATGCGTTCTTGTGCACGGGACTTCTTCTCCCCCTCTGCTACTTCACCTTGATTTATAACACCGTTACCAGCGTGGAAAATGCACACACTGGTGGCACAGCTCTCCATTTCTGTCTGGCTCAGTCGTGGCTCCCAAGAGACACGACTATATCTTTATTTGCTACGATTGTTTACAACACGTCCTCCCCACTTGCCATATTGGTTAAATTTTTGGTGCTACTTGTTTTTTTTTTTAAGGATGAACTCTGACAAGATGGGGAGGCCAGCTGTGCCACCACTGAGTGCATTGTAAATGGGTAATGTTGTCGAGCCATGAGACATTGTACATCACATGTGTGCAGTTTGTTGAACATTTCTCTGACATGTTTTAGGTGCAGTGACAAAAGCGCGGAGGCATGTGGTTAGGGATCACCCCTATCAAAGGGCTGTCATAGACCGAGGTTAGTTGTGTGTGTTGAATATATAAATAATAGACACTGTTAGTAGATGGGTAGCTTGGCACTGCGAGGGGTCACATCCTGGAACTTGAGCTCTGACCAATCAGGGCAGGTTTTAGGTGTTCTGCTCTCTGGTTGGCTAGAGGAAGAGTGGAATGATGGGACATCCAATCAGTGTGCTGCATGCACTGTGAGAGGGGGGACAGGCTCGGTAAAGCTGCTGAACAGTTTCCTTAGCAGGAAAGTTTTAAAAATTATCACCAAGTTGTGACACTTGTGTGAATTTATAACAAGTCATTTGAACATGTTCCTTACAAAGAAGGCATTACTGGAGCACAACAGTTGTTGCCCCCTCCCCACAGTTGCATGCACAGATTTGACAGGTTTTAGGTAATGCAACCACTTTTTTTTTCTTTCAGCTGAGTCTTGTGTTTTATCGATATATACTGGCTATGTGATGATGTTGAGATTTTCTGATATACTGCCAGTGAAATGTGGAAAGTAGAGGTCATATCAGGACATGTTTAGATGGAAAGGTCAGAGATCGTAGAAAGAGAACAGTTAGTTCAAAGGTTAGAGATGAGAGGTCAGGCAAACAGGGACCTGTGCAAGTTCTAAAAGCAATTGGCCAGAAAAGTGCTACCAGCAGTTGCAATAAAGAAAGAATTGCCAGCCTGATTTATACAAAAGTTGAATACTACAAACCTCATTTTTTATAGCCTCAATATATGCTATTTATGCAGATTTTTGTTTGTTTTTATTTTCCAAATTATGCATTATAAAAAGTACTCTATCATGTATTGAAAATCAACTTGTCAAATTTCAATGTGTATATTTTGGACACTGCATCAATGTGTAGGATAGAGGCAGACAACTGCTCGAGTGTATCTCCAGCAATAGTTTTTGCTTTTAAAAATTGGTCAGTAAAACAATGACATGGAAAGAACAGGGTGTCTGAGTCGAAAATGTCGTAGCAGTTCTGGCATTTTGGCAGTTGTGATCTTCCTAGTAGACAAAAAACAAACACAGGGAGTCATCTAAACGGCCAAGTAGCAGATGTTTTAGGACATGTACAATTTTAAAATTGTCAGGCAGGTTTTAGCACAAAGTAGTTAGAACGTGGTAGGGAGTATGAGATTAGTTTTATCCAAATTCTCCTATTCAGAGTGCATGTGTGGAGAGCAATTATCTAGATATTTAGAATTGTATTGAGTATTGTATGAGCAATAGCATATTATGAAGGAAAAAGTATAGTGTCAATATTTCTATTGCCTTAGATATAGCTATGTATTCGAATTTTTATATTCTTGAGATATTTTCTCATAGGAAGAGAGATAGACTTTAGACGTAGATGAAAAATGTATCTATATTACAGATTATGGCAAAATTTGATGTCACCGATTGAGTCTAGATTTTATATTTTTGAGCAACAGAAAATTGCTTCACTTCCAATGATGTCAGAATTTCTGATTCGGTCATCAAAATCAAACTTCTCAACAATCGTGGAAAACAATATTGCAGCTGATTTTTTTTTCTGGAATGGTAAAAATGAGCAGAGATAGTATAACACAAGGAGGGACCAAATGCAGATAACTTCCCATACCAGATGATGTTGTTTGTATATGGTGGTGTTGATATTTTGTATGTGGAGTAAAGTCACGGATGGAACATTCCCAAATCATCTTTATTATCTACTCTTTTGTATTATGTATATATTGGTACCGTCAGGAAAAAAAATAAAATTTTTAAATGTACTTGATTGTTGTTGGTCATGTTCTAAATAAAGTCTTGCATGTTTTTTGGGTAGAAATGTTTGTTATAGAGTGTTAGATGTGCTGGTTGTTTCTGTATGGCTTACAACAAGGTGTATCATTATTAGTGTTTTTTAAGTTTAACTAACGGACGAGCAACTAACAGTCATGACAAAAGTCTTAACACACGTCGTCATCAGCCGGTAAACTAGTTTGCCATCGGGGCTTGGGGCAGTGGTGTTGCTTTCAAGCTTACCTTAACAATCGTTCAAAAAGAAATTAAACCCCAAAACGTTTTATTTTTATTTTTTTTCTGTTTGTATGTTTGTGGGTCTACTTCGGCCTGGTTGTAATGCAAGTGAGGCCAAAGTGGATAGACCTAGACATTGTCATGGCTGTTCCCGACTAACGTTGGAGTCGTTATTGCTATTTTATTTGTGGCTCAGTCATTGGTGGCTGACAGCTGCAGTCATAAGTGGTACCCGAAAAAAAAGAGGACTACTTTTTACTGCAGAAATCTCCCGTAATTGCAACAGAGGACTAATCTTCTTTTTTCCTCTCTTATTTTTTCTATTAACCCAGCCGCCGCCACCAACTAACACCACCACACCACTGAGTGAGTGAGCATTAACGACCAGCTCTCGAATCGATCGATCGCGAACTGATCGAACCGTGCGCCTGCCCTAGTCCCACCACCGCACTATGTGAAGTCTTGGTGCACCATCTCTAGATCTTATTATCTTTGTACCTACTAGCTTACCACTTCACTACCTACTAAAGCATTGTTAAGGTCAAAAGCAAGGTTGTTTGTTGTTGTTGTTGATTATTTACGTTCCTCTGTGGTCGCTGCGGTGTTATTTATGACCATCGCTAACCCCACTCACCCATCATGGTTAGAGAGTGCCCTTACCTGCACTAACTGTACATATATCGTCAGCAAGTTTCCTTTCTGTATAGCATGTTAATTAAGATAAAAAGCCCTAGCTGTGTTTTGGATAGAGAAAGAAAGAGAAACCAGGCATGTAAGAAAGGAAGATTAGTCGCATTTGCTGTACAATGTGCTGTTGTGTTTTACCAAAACTGTTGGTAACGACGCTCTGCAGTGTTAGTTAATAATATCTGTTCAATAATATTAATCACATTTATACCGCAGTTATTTACCTTTCTAGAAATTTTGTACAGTTTTTCGCAGTATTTGTTACAAGAAATGCCTTTGTTTCTCATGGATTATATATAACATGCTGCACATCGTGCTAGGCTATGTAACCCAGGACAACTTTATCTTGAAGCAACGATATCGGGACTCCGAGGTAACATGTGGAAAAATTACAAACATGTTTATTAGCGTGAAAGGAAGGTATGCATTTCGAAGTACTTACACCCAATTCTAGACAAGTTTTCTATATTTCTAAGCGTTGGAAGAGGAAGAAAAGAATGCATACCCGGAAAATAAGCCATATATCTCTACCTCAGGGGCCAAGACAAGCAGGGGTACACTTGCCATCACGTTTTGTTGATCATAACCCAAGAACATGGGTTCTATTCCCGAAAAGAGAAAACCTTTGGTTTGCATCTCTTCTGGATGAATCAAACCAGCCACTTTTTTGTCATCTTTGTGGTGATTTGAATCCTGTCACAAGCAATAAACCATCCTCCCAGTACCCCACGTTTGTTGACAACATCTGTTAAAAGAGAAGTGTGAAAACGCCACGAATTATAGCAAAAACTGGTGGCTTGTACTCACTTAGCCGCGGCCCATGATAAGTTGCTATTGGTGAGTGGGGGTTAGGGTCAACTTTTTTCTATACATATTTAGAGAGTTATTAAGACTCAAGTAGAGAAGTAGAGGAACCTTTGAGGATAGACATTTAAAAAATGGAGCTGATTAGAAAGGGATATGTCCTACATATTCAAATGTTGCACCATAAGTCTACATTTCTGGTAGAATTGAATTGACTGTTGTACGAGAGAAAGCCAAGCTGGCCACAGTATGCAGTAACTAGTGACTAAGACCAGATTGTTAACGAGATTGTTTTTTTGGTGTTGTTGAATGAAATATGTAGGAGAGTTTACCAGTAGTTCAAAGTGCCTTACTTAATGGTGTTACTACCAAATAGAGGGGGCTTGCCATTTCATGTTCTTCCAATTCTTCTTGCCATATTAGAGTTAGAACCATTTTACAATATCATGGGCATTTTCAAGCCCAATATAGCTGCTATGTAACCATCCTGTATAGTCATGTGTCAAAAAACAACACCTGTAGAGTTCTGTGTTCAACCAGCCAAAATTCTATGAATTTTCCATTTCTCGTTAATTGCAAGGATGGATTGAATTGCGTGGTTTTCGTCCGCCTTGCGTCCATTTTTCGTTTTCCCATCGAAAAATGGTGCTGATCGATTCTTCACACACATCACCCACCTCATTACAAAACTCAGAAAATGTGCCACAGCTTTTTCAGTCCAGTCTTCCAACTGACTTGATTTCTCACAATTTTTGCTTGTCACAAATGCCAAGCTCACCAAATCAGCCGATTGATTTATCTCCGTTTATATGAGATTTTGGCAAGTCCTCACTTGGTAACGAGTGACTTAATTAATGTTTGATTAACTTCTCATCATTGTATTTATTTCAGCCTTTTTTGTTACTTATTTGATAGTGTTAAAGTAACGGCTATAAAAATACGCCAGATTTGCTTGTCATATTTATTTTTCCCCACTTTGGGCCTCCTTTGTTGGTTTGGTGCTTTTCCATTTTTGTATTTATTTTCTTTATTCGGTGCATTTCGGTTGTTAGCGTTGGAAAACCAGCATCAAAAGCCATGTGTAAAAAAAAAGTCAGCAAAGTTGCTGCTTTACAACTAAACCAAACCTTATTCTTGTATCAAATAAGAAGAGAAAAAAATTCCTGAGCACAAAAACATCCGTCAGGAAAAAACTGTACAGAACCTATAAGACGACAAGTTGTATTTTTGTATATCACTCTTTTGAAGAATCTTTTTCCTACAGGTTGACAACTGTAGAAGACTACTTACATCCGAACATTGTTTAGTAGTCGCTTGGACTTGTTAGGTTGACCACGCCGTACTGATAGGGACTTTTTATGCTCGATTGATTACTCCCCTTTGCTACCCTGTAACCTAGTGATATTTTAATAAAAGCTGACATATTTTATAGCAGATGTGGTCTTGTGGATGTCTTGTTTTACTACTCACTGTACTGTACCGTACTGTACTGTGTCCTGGCTGTGGTTATGATACGGGCTCCAGTTACACGCATGTCAAGATGATGCAGAGACTTACAACAACATCCTGTATCCCACCTCTATTTTCTCTACCCCTTGTCCTTATTCTTTCGAGAGCAGGGTTCGTGCACATCCAGGACTGATAATGATTGTCTCAAAAGCCTTAAACTGACCAGCATCATGTTTTTCCCCTATGTATCAGATTTCTTTCGGTTCAGTCATCAATCTTTTCTGTTTGCACGAACCCTGGCCAAGAACAAGGTTTTTTCACAACCCCCAAAATATGTAGCAAGCGCAAAGGAAGTCATCAGAAGTCTCAATGCTCACATGGGGTTTACAGGTTGATCTGTAAACCTTCAGGAAAACGGAGGTGGCAGGAGTACTATGACATGCATGAGTTGAGAAGTACAGTTCAATTACCACTTACTATTGCTTGATTGCCAAATACCCGAGGAGAATACAAAAGTAACTCTGCAAGAGGAAACATAGCTGTAAACTGTCGGAATGTCGGGTCCGCTGTCGAAATAACTAACCGGCGTTCCAAAGCATGGACATAACAGCATCACACCAGCCATGTATTGTATACAATGTGCGTCTTTATTGTCTTCAATAAGTGTCATACAAGTAGAGAAATACTGTTATGAGAAAACCCAGCTCCCTAAAGAAAAGCTCCAATGAAATCCAGCTCCAAACAACACCATAAAATATGTCTAATTTCTATGCATCACAGAGGTAAAACGAGAGTACACAAATATGACTCTCACTTAAATACAACCTTAAAATGTCTATGTAATTTGAAAAATTTTTTACGTAACCTAATGTATTAATACCTTACTGTACACAACTGTTGAGATATGTATAGGTAACAGTCATCAGCTTGGCAGTGGTAAATCCCTTTCTATTAAAAAAACCTCTTGGACAGGGTTCAGTAGTTACAAAAGCCAGTAAAAATTACAGTTGAAACGCCTCGTGATTTTTTACTCCTGCAGGAACCTAAAAATCAATTACCACAAATCCTGTAGAATCTGAAGTCATTTTCAGTTAATCCCCACCTAATGGAAGTAATCTGCGTTTTTCCTCTTTAAAAAAACTCTATATTTGCATGGATGCGGTATGTACATTAGAACCCTGCCCAAGTGTGCCAAACACAAGCTTGTATGAAGAAGTCTGCACGATGCCCAGGCATTACACCAGAGGATAGCTGGCCGATGTGGCGATGCCGCACTGGTTGTCCTTGTTGCGAGACATCATGATGTAGCCTTGGTCTCCCCAGTTCGGACCCCAGCTATAGTGGCAACAAACAAACAAACGTGTTACATACATGGAATTGTCAATGCCTACATACTCAACATACACAAGATAACAATGATGGTTAACCTGGATCAACCACTTACTCCTACTCAACCCAACAGCTTAGCTGATCTTCATCTTGAATTTTTCGTTGCCTGAATTTTTTAACCTCCATACTTGTCTTCTCTATACTGTTGTCAACTTATATCTGTTCTACTTCTAGCTAAACTTTTTGACTTCTGTTGCTGACAATTCTGTTTACCATGTTTGCTATGTGTTGTTCTCATTCATTTCCTGTTGCCAGCCAATACCTTTGCTAAAAACCATATTGCAGCTATTTTTCTTTTTCTCACTGCCTCTTTCATTCTGTTCATCCCTGACACCTGCCCTCCTCTCATGTCTCTTTGCAGGTGCGACTGTCGGCGCCGCTGCCGCCACCTCTCTAACCTCTCCCCTCACCACGACTACCGTTTCCACCAGCCCCGCCCCTGTCACCCCCCTCACTGCGCCCTCCTCCACACAGCACCAACAACTCCAGCAGCTGCAGGGCCGCGGAGCCGTGCAGGACCTCGCCAACTTACAACAACAACAGAACGTACAGTACGTCGCGCTCGGGCCGGGAGGCCAGCTCATGTTAAAGACATTCCCCTACCAGCAGCAGTCCGTCCTGTAACCTTGTAACGCCACTGCTATTTACTCCATCGCCCACCCCTCCCACAAAGTTCAGAGATCTATGTTTCCAGTTCTCGCCAGCTCCAAAGGCTGCAGAACCAGTAGGAGGCCAACAACTGGAGATTTTTTTGACAAACCCGTACACCAAATTCCAGTTTGTCATCAAAGTCAGACATTCACGGAATGCCATCTGCATGGACAAGGTCGTCTGGCCCTGTGACCTCTGAAACCATCACTAGTTTCCAGATACATAAAACATCTGAAAGAAACTTCTTTTTCTGTCAAAAAGCAGTTCCTCACTCTTACTTAACCTGGCCATAAGTTGAACTTTCTGTGACGGGTGGACAAGTCCTCTACAGTTGTACAAATCACTGACACCCCTTCAAACTGACAAATGTAAAGCTGGTTATTCACTAAAAATGTGAAGCTGTACAAAGGTGTGTGATATAACAAACTTGATTTGTGTGTGTGTGGTTAGATTTAATGTAGTCTGAACCGTGGTATCTACTGCTCTTACCTTGGAAACTATGCAACAACCATGAGAATGCCTTAAAAACCATTTTGCAAATCATTCTCTGCATTTTCAAGTGCCAAGTTGTCACAAAACGTAACACTGCCTCATAATTAACCAAAAACATCACAGCGCAGTAACTTCACAAATATGATTGAGCAAATCTTTGCGGCAGAAACCGAAAATGACAGGACTAATTTCTATAACAGCTGAATGCATTGCCCACTCAGGTATTTGAGAATTCTAGTGCTGAAGCAAAAACTCCTATATAGTGCTGCAGTGCAGCAGTTACAAGTAATGTACTACTGTGTAGTGTAGTGTGCTTCAATTCATCTTATTTGATGTTACGTCATATTCCTCTTTATTTTCCTGGACATTCATATTTATTCTTGTACAGAAAATAAAGCTGATATCAGTTCTATTATCTCTTCAGAACTTGTGTCTGTTATATTTGTGCTGGGTAGTCCATGTGCAGGCAGTACAGATGCTAAGTTTTACTGTTCTTAGCTAGGATTATTTCATCTTACTAATAACCTTTTTTGTGTTTCTTTGACTTGTTTCTAACCTGATACAAACTCAAGCTGTTGAATTACTGAAGCAAATACGCTGTGTTCTTGACTCTTTGAAACTTGTGAATAAAACATTCAACATCTGAAACCCTGTGTTGTGTCCCTGAATTCATCACACAAAATAATAATAACACATTAACACTGTTAATAATTAAGGTGATATGTACAACAGTGCTACATCTTTAAAATTAACCTTCTCACTCCTAAGTCGTAGGATAACCGACATAGATCTGGACAATGAAATAGGCCATAATAAGGAAGAGTTAACTTCACACTGATTGCCAACTTGTAAATAAGGTTTCGTTAAAAACAGGTTTAACAAAACACTTGATCAATCAATAACCTGTAACTAACCTGTAAGAGTACTAACTTAAACTTTTCCACTGACTCCCAGGGAAGATACTAATTTCAAACAGTCTGACATTGCTGACAAAAAATGGTGAAAGTCTAGCTAGCAGGGTCCTGTTGCACACTCTACAACTGTCTTCGTGTACTTTTCACACTCAGCTTTGTCATAAATCAATTAACAAGTGTCATAAATATTCCTTTGCAAATCATATTCAGAGGAAGGTATTCTGCCTTTGGCCATAAGCCAATACATGTGTATATAGACATACATTCCTACTAGTAGTAAATCAACATGTGGACAAATTCAGTCAAAGACAAAGCATCTGATTCTGCCTAACTGTACATACTTAGTAATGATATTCACCACTGCCACTTTTATACTACGTGAAATCTGATATACCTAAACAAGAGTAACACTCCATCTCCAAAGACTTGACTGAATACCATTCCTAAACCTTCATCAAAGGCAAAAACAGCTGGGCAGTAATAAATAATGTCAACAACGGGTAACAAACCAGCCTACTGACACTGCCAAAAGAGAAAGGGGGCAGGATAGCTCAGAGTGTCAAGAGCGCTGGCAATACACAGCCAGAGGTCCTGGGTTCAAATCCCGGTCCTGCCGTCCTGGCCTGTATCTTCCATGTATACCTCACCCTCAAATGTCTAACCCCAACACGCAGCCTTACAGAGACTACATCAAAGCTGTAACCTGGCTATTTTTGTCAAACCAGTTGTTCGGACATAAATCTTTGACAAGGAAGGATGAAGGCCACCAAGGGAGTTGTGCGTATTATTACACTCAACAAGAGCCCTATCACATGTTGTGTAGGCGTTGACTTCATTTGTACAATTAGGACCGATGTCCTGTCAGATTTGGCACGCTGATTGTTTTCAGAGACAATACCAAAAACAGACAATGGAAGTTTGTGTTCTTTTAAGACTGTCACCACCCTACACGTACACGTGTTCATCCCGCCACCAATGTCAAAGACAAAGTGAATCTCAAATACAGAGTTCACCAGGGTCAGACATGCAACCAACATAGGCGACACAGACAGTAAATATCAGCCTATGACATTTTACTCCAGTTGCTACCTACCCTATGTTGATATCTATTTTTATACTCCAGACTCGTGGTCTACTTCCATAGTGAATGTCTTCTATCAATAAAGATGTTTAAAAGAAATCATGTGATGTCGTCTTTAGTTCATGGTTTCTTATCTTGTACATGTAGTAGGAACAGTAGAAGTGAGGCTGACTTCATTCTGGACATAAATTTTGTCTTGTCCTAAAGTCATGGTGGAGAGGTCACCGAATAAAGGTGAAATGGAACACGAAAATTTCCTGAGTACTTGCTTCTCCTCTCCTCACCTACTGTCAAATGTCCCCAATTCCAACCGTTTTCTGTCGTCTAGTTTGAACAATTTAAGAACATCACATCACAGCTGTCTCAGTAATGCTAGCCAATCAGGTTTTACCTTGTAAGTGACTCACCTGTTCTTTACAATCCAGAACGCCTGATGACTGTTGTCATTCATGGCCCCATAGCCCACCACCAGAACTCCATGATCGAGCTGCTCAGTGCTGCACTGTGGTTCATCGTACACTCCTGAGTGTACATGTTTTCATGACATTTTGTAAGAGGAATCTTCCATAAAATCTTTAATTAAACTCTAAGTGGGTTACAATACAGTCTGGCTGTATGGACTTGATTCATATTTCTAGATTCTTCACTTTACAAGTATAGCAGGGTTAGAAAAAAAGATTCCATCTTTTCAAAAACCAAACAGCAATTGATCAAAACACACATTTCCACAGCCAAGTTTCAAATAAACACATACTTTGATTGGACTTCAGTTCAAATGTCAAACTAAAGAGTCATAATCATGAATACACGACAGCAGACATTAACTAAAGCCATCAAGGACACATGAATAAAACTATGGTTTATATAAAAAGGTTTGATCAAAAACAGTTGGAACAAAATATGAATATACAAAGTTCCGATAACAATCCACACCTGAAGAATAAAACTGGAAGGATTCGTGACCAGCGTCAATTGCCACAGAGATGGGCCCAACGGTAGCGACAGCCCTCTTCAGCGCGTGCTCGTTACCAGACTTCACATCCTTGTAGCCAACCAGGGTGGCACCGACGGAGGAGTTGTCAAACTTGCAGGGTTTGTCATCCTACAGGTAACACAATGAACAGAATGTGATTTTATGGCATTAATGGTATTACAGTCTTTTGTCCCAATGAAGTTGCACCATCTATGTGCCTAACTCCTCTATCATTATAAAAGATTTGATAAGGCCACACTGACTTGATTATATGGGGCTGACATCAGAGCACAAGTTTTTTCAGTCCAAAAAGTTTGTCACCATATTGTTCCTTTGGGTAATTCAATTCTGAAATTTCATGGATATGGATTACTACATGCCTAACTCCTTTGCCTTCTTGGTAGCACTCTGGCAGCTTGCCTAACTAGCTGGTGTGTCAAAACTGTTTCGACTGCAGAGCTCTCTGGTCAGTGTTAGGCATACACATTAGCTTGCCTAACTGATCTACAATGATAACAGTACATGATCAGTGTTTCCGCCAGACTGCAGCTGAGAGGCCGTCCAGTTGGGAAGGGCCGGGTCGCGAAAATTAATTAACTTTTAATAGGGAACACGTCGCGAAAATTAACTGAGGGGGCGGGGCATTTGTTTACACTTGTTTACAAGTTGAAACTGTCCACAAGCATTCCACATTTTTTTGTATTGACATAAAAACACTCTTACAGATGGAAAATGTATCGTCAGGAAATTATACTGTTGCAAAACTCTGCTGCAAAACTCCAAACATCGGCATCATTTAATTATAACCTCCGGTAGCGCCCGCGCTAGCCGGATTTTTAATAGTGAAGAGCCTTGCTTCGTTCGTACTCGTACTTCTTCCGTACATTTTCGCTACGAATTACTAGTTGATATCAAGCCAAAAATACATCAAAACATGTCAAGAAACGTCATCTTATCTCTCATACACGAGACAAATTTTGAAAAATAATTGGCTGTATCGTAGCTTTCATTGTTGTTTCATTCAACAAAAATGCTCCTTGATTGTAAAATGATCACTTATCTGTTGTCTCCAGTACAGTGTCAAATGGTAGCGTGATCGTAACGTGCGAAAAATCGGCGTTAAAAGTCAGAAAATCGCCGGAAAAATAAACTTGCAGCGCACATTCTCAACCTCGCCGGAGAAGGAAATACGCGCCATTTTGTCATTAAATATGTAAGTAGCAGCGTGAACTCTACGCTCTGATTGGTTGACCTCATATGACCTGCGCTCTGATTGGATAGAGCCATCTTTGCCGGCATAGCTGCAGAATTTGTTTGTTGGCGAAGAGAGTTACACTACGCTACTTTCTACGGTGTTTCTACCGCTAATGAGCAACATTCAATTAAAGAAATTCATTATGAAGAATTTTTGGGAAAATGTATGCATCCATATGCCGATTTGTGGTGCCTTTCGCGTATTCAAGCAAGCCGGAAGTGTAATAGCGAACCGCGGCGTGGATAGCGAACAGCGGCGTGGATTTTCATGCAACCCGCCCGCTACAAGACCATCAAAAACGTAACTCCCAAAAGAGAATTTTCACATCCGATATGATTCTGTTCGAGGAAAAATGTTTGTGGATACATTTTACCGGATGGAGACTTGAAAGACGGGTTTTAATGAGATTAACGTATGCGAAAGGCGCCGACATCAATTGTTCGTCAGCATGATAACAATAGCAAAACAAACAACGTGTGTCTTTCTTGCCTTGGACGGCGTCCTCGTCTACAGCAACAAAACAAAGACTGTCAATTTCTCTGATTTTTCCTAGTCTCGAAATTTTTTAAGAGGACGGCCTCTGTCCGAGTTCAGGCCGTCCAAAACGACACCAGGCCGTCATATGACGGGTGGACGGCCCTCTGGCGGAAACACTGATGTACAGCCAGATCATGGGTATGAAAACCATGTAATCCTTTCTGATCTTAGGGTCTGAGCCCTCTACAATTTGTTCCCTTGGCCCTTTCATATCATTGTACATGCAAGCAAAAATTCATTAAGAGAATGGCATTCAAACATACATGTAGGGCTGG